GACGACAGGACGCCATTCTCTCCATCCGCGGCGGGGTGCAGGCATCTTCTCCCGCAGGTACGCTGCCACCAGCGGCAGCTGGCCATCGTCTTCTATCGATTCCGCCGCCTGTTTCGCACTCTTATCAGCCGCCCTCCCTCCCCCTCTCCCCTCGAGAAAGAAGACCCACAGTCAAACCCGCATGATTCCTATGCGCGACATCAGCGCCGAGCTCTTCGACGAGGCACCGCGCGGTCTCGACAGTCTCGGCGACGAACAGCGGCGTGTCCCCGTCGTCGTCAGAAAGGTTCACGTTCCCGCCGTGGCTGCGCACCAGTGACCGCAGGAGGGATACGTGGTTGTAGGACGCGGCGGCGTGGAGGGGCGTGTCTACACTCCGTTAGTTTGCGGTGGGGGATGTGGGGGGTGGTGGGGAGGTGGGGATGTGGGAGGGAGAGAATGGGGAGGTGGTGAGGTGGTGAGTGACAACTCACAGCCGTTCTCGTCTTTGCGGTTAACGATCGTGGGGTCCGCCGCGATGAATTGACCTACGCTCACTATGTCGCCGTCGGAGGCGGCGATCCAGATGTTTGCCGAGGGCATTGGGTGGTACTGTGGTAGGGTGCTGCGGGAGGTGGGATGGGAGGCGCGAGGCGGAGGCGTGCTTGAGCCTTGGTGGGGCGGATATTTTTTTAGGCTTACACTGAACTAGAAGTTGCCCCGCCATCTTCAGGGTAAATACTAGTAGTTACCGCGTGCGCCGTGCGCACGCTGCATAGGGTTTAGTTAGTGCGCTTGGAGCTTGGAACTTGGCTTCCGCCGCTAGTCACGAGTGATTCACTGTTGCAGTTAGCAATTGCAGTTGGCAGTTGGCGATTGACTGTTGCGCCGTCCACCGATGACATGCCCAACGATGCAGCCTCACAATGCCTATTCTAGGTCTGCCGACTGACTGAATTTTCGAAGTTCATCACTCAGTTAAGTACAATGCCCAATTTGTTCACCGAAACTCCAACCAGCAACCAGTGGTTAACCCAAGGGAATCACTCAGGAATCTGGGATCAACTGGCCTTAGATATTCACGCAATATGGTGCAGTTATGTTGAAGCTCCTCAACCAGCTCTGAGTGAGAGGTCGAAGGTGCGGCGACAAGTACCAGCGTTATGTCGCTATCACTCGGGTCTTGCTATTGCGGAGCCGGGTGTTAGAATAGCAGTATGGTAGTAGTGATCATCTCAGGCTTCAAAGATGATTTCCCTCATGCCTACCGTAGGTACCGTATCTGGAGGATGTTCACATCCTCCCACTCGATAGTTGACCACGATAACTAGAGTAAGCGAAGCGAGAGTCCCCGAGAGGAACGAAACCCCCAATTCAGTCCCTCCCGTCAATCGCACATAGGTAGGCGGTATTCACACCCGTAGATACAGAGCTTCACCTGCCCAACCCAAGCCCACTGTTGGAAGCGCAGACCACCGACCAACAAAGCCCCAGCCGCAGCTCATCCTGCCCTCTGGCGACGAACGTCTGAGGTTCGGCGTTCAGCGTTCTCCTCGCTTCGTTAGCTGGGCGCGGGAGATCTGCGCGTCCCGTGCCCACTACATAACCACTCTAGGGATGTGTAGGTAACTAAACAGGAAATCGGCGTGAGTGAGTGCCTCTCTAGAGACTCTCTCCTCCAGGCTCTATGGCCACTTCAATAGAGTATGGTAGAGTATACATCATCTGCACGGATTCGAGGGGGAGTTGCAGAGCCTTATGGGTAGGTGGGAAATGATTATGTACAATACACCACAACTATGCGCGGCGGGGGCGAGCATGTATCGTGTGTAATCAACTGGAAACCTCGAGCCTCCGGGGACGGGGACGAGGACGGAGACGAGGACTGCCGCGCACGTGGTGGGGGGAGGGGGGTTGCGGTAGTTACTTTACACGCCAGCCAGCTGGATCCAGACTTCGGAGGTTGTCCTAGAACGGGACCGCCTAGGTATTATCCCTAGGTTTACGGCACCCAAGCTGGTGGTACGCTACTCTCCACATTGCAAATTGTTCCACACTTATATACAGGCAGTGTAGGTCGGTTTCGGGATCTGGACGGATTACTCGCCGAGTAGTTGGTTATGGCGAAAGTCTGATTGGCTGGTTGAGATATTTCTCTCTTCACTGCAAACCGCTCCACTGCTCCACTGCAAACGGCAAACAGCCAGTCCAGAAAACACCGAAACGTACTGCCGACAAACATATCCGGAGGTATGATATGTAGGAAGTATGTACGCAACGGACGATGATGATCTAACGATCCATCGCAGAAGGCTTTGAGAGCTGTAGGATGGGCCCGGGATGCGTAGGCAAATAGAGTAAGTTGGTGAAGTGGGTGCTTTGGTAGGTATGATTTGGTAGGTATGAAGGTGTGTTATATAGCAGCGCACCAGCATCTGGGATTGTTACCGAACAGGCACCGTTGTTCCAACCCTACCTTTATACTCTCAAGAGGTTTAATACCTATAATGGCAGTCCCTGCGGGCCTGTACAGACGGTGCAGTATGTATGTGTGTATTGCCCATATATGATTGCCTTACCTACTGTAGATGGCCTTGAGGACATGGGTGGAAGGGCCCGGGGGAGGGGCGGGGCGGATACATGGCTATGCGATTACACCCCAGAGTACCGGTACCGTATGTACAGTGAGTACATGGCATCGCGCGCGGAGGTTCAAGGCCGTGCGGCGAATTCGAATCTCCGCCCGCACCGGTTAAGTAAGATCGAGTACCCGCGCAAGTACCCACCCAGGTAAGTATTTCTTACTTAGGCCCTGTTCGCGCACACCATTATCTCATTATGTGGATGTGCCAAGCCTTTAGCGCGACATAATGCTTTTAGCATTATGTCGATTCGGCGCACAGACTTCTGAACTAGACATTGCGACGCCACATCTACTGCAGGTGCTACATAGAAGCTAGCCAGTAAGAGTAGCGAGCGGAAGTGAACCATCATGTAATACGTGTCCTCAGCCTCAAATGCAATGGAAAAATGGCTGGGAGTCTCGCGGATTTACTCAGTCATTCCTACTTGGTGACTGGAGTCATTCCTGCTCGTTGACTAGAGTCATTTCTCCACTTACTAGAGTCATTCTTTCAATGACTGTAACTGTGTGAGTTGATTGACTCTTGCAATGCTTCCCGGATGACACTTGTAATAAAACCCATCGCTTCCATAGTCTTCAGCTTCCAGAAGTTCCAAATCCTGCCGAGGAATCAAGTTTCCTGCCGAGTCAGCAGTAAACACTTTTCCGATCTCTTCAATATTTTTTTTTGCTGTTCCAATTGTTGAATTATCGTGGTGATGGTAGTGGTTGAGGTTGAGGTTGGAGACTCCCCCCCTTTTTTTATTGTGGCGCAGCCCAACTTGACATAATGGGTGAGATATTGGGTTGTAGCGAACACTCAAATTATGAGTGGAAAAATGGTTTTCAAATTTATGTGGTAGCAGGATGAGATAATGGGTGCGCGAATAGGGCCTTACTCACTCTAGTGTAGTACTCAACTTACTCACATACATTGAACTGCACTGCACGGCACGGCGCACGCTCAACTACCGCCTCGTTTCGTCCGTCTGTCGGCTAACCCCTTCGGAGAACCCTACCTCCAGTACGTCGACATCAGCACTACTTGTTAACTATCACTCCCGTGAAGAAACCCCTACATAGATACAAACATACCTAGATCTCGGCCCAGCGGGCGGCTAATGGGACATATCGTAGGAGGAGGGGAGACGCAAGCGGCACTCGTATGTATGATTTTTATGATTTGTATGTTTGTACGCATCGTACCTACTTGGGCAGAGCAAGATAGGCAGCCCTAAGCACAGGACCGTACTGCTTACATAGATATAAACGGAGCTTTTGTGAGCGCCTTTACGATGCGTTTCCCCCCGGTGTGATTGATCCCGGCTGCGGAGTGGCTCAGTATGTAGTGTACTCTGAGGCTTGAGCAGACGGCATCTCATCGCTTCCGATGCCTGTCTCGCAGATGTTCCGGATCTTCTCGAATCTTGAGTGTTCTTCGTGAATCTGAGTGACCGACTATCTACCTGCATATTTTCCGTTTCGTCAGCCCTATCTACCGTACCATGAACCCGCTTTTTTCTCTCTTCCTTTCAGTTCGATCATACTTGAATCCAGCCCAACTACTTATCCAGACCATGACGGCGTACGATGCCCACATTCCCTCCGTTTCTATCCAACCCATCAAGCCGCGCAGCCCGATACCGGCTCCTCGCCGAGTACTAGCGCATGATTGCATCTTCCGCAGCTCCGAATAAGCGATGCTGCCCCTCCTCCCCCTGGGCCCTGGGGGGCTCAAGGGAAACCATGTCCTCGTCTCGTCTCGGGTTCCAGCTAGTCAGCATGTAGATATCTAGCTAACTAGCTGTGTCGGGCCGTCAGTTACTGCTGCTTGCTTCTGCTGCTGCAGGCGTGACACTGCTCGTGCATAAAGAAAGTGCCACGGACCTCTTTATACCCACCTACACCATGGTCCATCACCGAAAACTGAAAACTGAGAACCGAAAATTGAGAACCGAGAACCTACCTGGCCAGATGAGAGGATAGATAGGGGCCACTGTTTGTGTGCAATGTGATTTCTCGTCCTCACCGTTGAGGCCGGAGAGGATCTCTCGAGTCTCCAGGCCGCTTGTGTTCTCTCCTTCCGGCGGAAAGTGTTCGCCAAGTAACGTCGGGAAGATCAGCAACGTATGGATTTCCGTAGCAGTGGGACTGTGAGACAGCCCCGCCGCTATGTATCGGCAGTTGCAGACCGCTAACTATCCAACTATCGGCCAGCATCGGCATCCCTATCGAAATGCTGATCGGAGAAGCGGCGATGGAGAATCGATGGAGTACCGGTATGTACTTATGTTGCAGATATGTATGCACAGATGTGCGCACTCTTACAGTAGAGAAAGAGAGTTACTTGGTTACTTCACGGACATTCGTGAAAGGATGGTTGTCGTTGTTGTTGGGAACAGATAATGTTGGGATGCCTGCGATGCGGGAAGGGTGATGATGGTGATGATGCGCTGACAGGGTCTCACAAGTCATCAAGTCCCCCTTCCCCTTCCCCTTCTCCCTTCCCCCCTTCCCTTTTCTTCGGCATCTGCCGTCTGTATCTACATAAGAATACAATTCGTGTCGCGAATTGTGAATTCTTTTTTTCTCTTTCTTTCTTTCTGATGGCCAGGCCATGGATGGCTGGCACCGGGTAATTTATTTTAGAGTACCGATCGCTTGCCGCTCTTCGCCCCAAGTTGACCTGTCTGGTCTTGTCTGCCTGCTTGCTGCTTGCCTGCTGGCATGGCCGGAATTCTTGCCACCGCTTGGTAGGAGGTACTCTATTCTCGGTATCGCCTTTGCTCGTACTCGAAGAGTAGGAGGAGGAAGAGGAGGCGGCCGCCACCTATGAGGTTGAATCCCGTATAACTAGAACTGTGTCAATTCGCCTCCTCTCCCTCCCATCCCGCCCCCTCTGTGGGTCGGTCCTCCTTGTGATAACTATTCCCTCCGTTAATCGATCAAATTCAACATACTCTACATCCCT